TAAGTCTAGACATATACATCGTAGACATGATACCGTAAGACAACTACTCTCGAATGGAATCATTACAATTGACTATGTTAAGTCTAAAGAGAACATAGCAGATCCGTTAACCAAAGGGATTCCTAGAGAATTGGTTGACAATTTATCGAAAGGAATGGGTTTAAGGCTTATCAATTGTTGATCATTGCGGTAACTCTACCTTGATGAGTGGAGATCCCACAAACTAGGTTCAAAGAGATAACTAAGTGATGTTCTAATGTTAAAACACTATGGAGTTTCTAAACTCATACTCATTCCTATAATAAGACAGTGTATTTATGAGGGTAAGCATTTAGGCTTTTAATGATTTCTTAATCTGTTGTGTTCAGATGATGCATAGTGAGTTGCATCATAAGAAATCACCTATGTGAGTGTGAAGTGAGGGCCGCTTCTATAAGAATTTTTCAAAGGCTGATTCTCTAAAACACTCACAGAACTAGGCAGGTGTCCCACGGCCAAAATGGGCACAACAAAGGACCAACAATGCTAGAGAAGCAATTGTGTGACTCCTATTGTCTAGGTATACACTAAAGGTCGACGGTTCAAGTCACCCAGACCATCGATTGATCGAGTATATTCGATAGGTTACACTAGAGAAGGTTCAAAGGTAACTATACTATCTCGATGCAGTTGTTTCTCGTTGAGGAAATTACACTTTGCATTTATATTCTTATGCATTTTAGTCACGATGAATTGACTTCTTATCCATGTGGGGGATTGTTGGAATTTGTATAGACAATCTATTGGTTATAAATAAGAAGTAGGTTAAGGAAGAAAAGAAAAGAGGGAAGTTGAAGGGGTATGTGGATTTTAAGAAGTCCCACATTGGACAACTAGCAAGATGTGAGAGAGTTTATAAGCTCCCACCGCACAATCCTAAATTGCCCCTTGGGGCACTACACTTTTGTGGAGGGGAGAGAAGCTAGGTGGTCATTAGTCCATCACATGTGCGCGCGCCATCGCGGTTCGGTTCGGTTCGTATGTGTGTGTGAAATTAAAATAATTTTTTAATTTTTTGGTCCAAAATACTCTTGTCTATTCGTTGCTTCCCTCCAGATTCTTCAAATCCAAACGTTTCTTCCCGCCGATTTTTTGAACATTTTGAACTGAACCGGTTCTTACCTTTCGCGAACAAGTCACCGGTCGTACCCGTTCACCAAATCGGTCACCGGCTGTACCCGTTTGCTGCCGTCAGTCACGGCAGTTCGCAACCGACGGCGATTCATCGTGACCAGTCAGTATCTATAAATAGACCCTGACCCCTTCATGAGTTTCATCCGATTTTCTGCACTGACACTCTGCCAGAATTTTTCCCCATCCGGTTTGCATGCTTCCTTATGCTTTCCGGTGTAATTTCCTCAGGCATATTGTTGTGTTCTTTTGGGCTGTTAACTGGTAGTTCCATCAATCTTCAGACGAAATCCGTTCTATCCTGGGAGACAAGTGTCCATCAACCTTTGGCATCAGTGAAGGGGCAAATTGTCTTAAGAACACACATTTTGTGGGCTCGGATTTATTCATACACTATTCTGCATACATTGATCATTCTGTTTTAATATCTGACATCTTGTAAGTCTGTTCTAATTTTCTTATTGCACTATGTTTTGATAATTCTGATCATTAATCTTTTATGTTCTATACATGGGTTCAAACCTCTTAGTAATTTAATATCACCTACTGTCTTTTAAATAACAAAACTCATATTTTTTTTCAGTGGGACCCATACCTTTTTGTGTCTATGAAATGATACATATTTTTTCCTATATCTATTAATTATTATTTCCATGAGATAATTTTTTTTTATTTTTTGGATAATTATTTTGTTAGATTTAAAATTTTGGCATTTTAATTATAATATCATGTGATATGGTCATACATTAGTCAAATTAAATATGTGGCTTAGAGTGATATCATCCACAAGAGGGCAGTACCGTAAGCAGCAGATGAGGCTTGGAAGTTAATACAACAACATATTCATTAATTGAAGATTGTTTCAAAATGTGACTTGAACAAGTACTCGGTCCAAACAAAGTTATTAAGCCCAATATGGCAAAATTATTTAGTTGCTGCCTTGGTGGCATTACTTGAACATGTAATTGATTCAAACAATGAAGCCCAATAAGACCCCCGTTTATTCAATTGCTACTTGTTAGCATGGTGCTTCATTTCAATATTGACTATTATACTATACTCACTATTATACTATCCTATATGTAAGCAACTCCTTGAGTCACAACTATCCTACTTGTCATATTATGGAATAAGGCAATATTTTTAGTGTAGTCCGAGGGCCATTAGGTATCAGACTTTGACTATCTTCCAAAGAAAACTGAGACAATTTTGTTAGGGAAGGGACTGAATTTCACCAATTCGAAAGAGATTTGATATTTTTTTGCAACTATAAAGTTTTAAGTATCCAATGGGAATTTTGTAATCTCAAAGTCAATGATAAGTTAAGTCTTGCAATGCCATACTGTTTGATTTGGTCAGTATGACCCTTGGCGAAGAAATACAGTTGGGCATAGGTGTCAGCAACCGTAAGTTATGCGTCAAAGGCTTGCATGGTTTGTTCTTTTTGTTAGTTAGTTAAGGTTACGTAAAATATTTAGAACTTATATTAGTCTATTAGCCTATTAAAGGCTTGATTCATAGGTTTGATCTGACCTATTGTAAAAAAATTAAAAAGTCTAACACTGCTTGTAAAGCCTACAAAGTTGCAAATTAAAGTCTATAGACCCAAAACAATCTAAAATATAAAATATAAAATTCCTTATTCACAATGAGATATTATGATGTAAATCAGGTGTTGGATTATCAATATTGATATTATGATGTTTGAGAATGAGAATTATGGTGTAAATACATATCAGGGTGTTCATCGACCGATCCAAACCGATTCAAACCGCGGTGACCAAACCGAAAAACCGAAAATCGAATAATTCGAAAACTAAAAAATTGAAAACCGAAAAAAAAATCGCAAATTTTAATTGGATTGGATCGGTTTTCGAATTGGTTTATGAAAATCGATCCAATATATTAATTCCCCTCTACCTACTTAGGCCTTTCCCCAATCATAGCCAAAAAATTTCTAAATCCAAGACCCATTAACTCATCAACTAAACCCAAGAAAAAATCTAGTCACATCTGATCAACAAAATTTCATGTGTAGAGCTTCATCTCTCAATTGTAAAAAAAAACTATATTATCATTTACTGATGCTTTTAAATTTAAAAATAAAATAAATTACAAAGTCAATATATACAAAAGATGTTGTTTGCACAATAATCATGAAACAAATTTTAGGATTTTCAAAAAACCGAAAACCGATCCAATCTAAACCGAAAAAAATTGAATTGGATCGGATCGGATTTGAAAAAAAATCTAAACCGAATGGATGATTTCATGATCAAACCGAAGGGATTGTATCGGATAATTTTTGCTTCCAAACCCGATCAAATCCAGATCACGAACACTCTTACGTAAAGATGAGATAAAGAAAGAGTGTATTATCCAAATGTGCATGAGTGTATTGTGATACCACATTTTTGGATGAATATGTACGTAAGATGTTATGATGTTAATGGCATGATTGAAATAATTGCTTTGAGTTCATTTATGAATATGTAACTTTGATTTCAAAGCACTAATACGTAAAGAAATTGAATGTATGGGTCTGGTGACGTAAGTGAAGTAATGTATAATGATGTATAAGTAATATTACATTCTTTCAAGAAGAGTTTTAAGAGACTTACATGCTTAAGCAAATGATTGTATAAGTGTGGAAACATGAGTTATGAGATGAAAGTATTTACCATGCATGTTCATTCATATAGGTAAACTGTTTGATAATGTATTATCATGAATTAAGATTATGTATGAAATGTGAACATTGAAGGAATAGTATAGCAACTAAAATGAATAGTACGCCATGAAAAGAAGAATGCATAATAAAATGTCTTTCGTTCAACTACTAAAAGAAGAATGCATGATAAAATATTTTAACTTGGCAGACACATAAAATCGAAAAGGGAACAAAGAAGTGTTGGGTGTAAGCTTATGGAAATTACGTTGAGGAAAATGAGTGATTCAGAAGTAAGAAACTCACGGTACCCCATTATTGAATACAAGCATTGAATAACGAAACCACTTGGTGGGAAATGGGAATATTAATCGTAAGACGCGCTCTTGGGTAGTGGGGACTCTTTCATTTAATACTCAACCAAAAATGTTGCTCTAAGCACTTTTCTGTCGTTGAAAAGCTATTTCATTCCTCCAGGTCTTCGAAAAGAACATGTCAATTTCCAAGGAAAATGCCCAACCAATGGTGACTCGACCATGTCAACACAGACTCCACTTGCAATACTAGAAAGAAAAAAAAAATACATTACCCAAAAAAATGTTTAATATTGATGCAAAATAAGTAACAAGTTCCATGAAGTCACAATCTGAATTCCACGATTGTAACTAGCAACCATTATCAGGGTGCGGAATTATGTGACACACGCAAAGGATTAGTAAATTGGAATTTGATAAGAAGTTTGATATTTTTATATTTAAGTCTTACAAAGGAACACATGATGAAAATAATATAAATTTCTTTAGTGCACATACTAAACAAACATTTGCGTTTGTTAACATTTAGCAAGTATATTATCAAATTTGGATATAGAAGTGTCAAATTTGTGAACAACTTGATTGCTCTTTTGGATAGCAAGATGAAGATAAAATTGATTTCAAAATATTTAAAATACCAAACCCTTCAAGGATAAAAAGAAAAATCTCAAAAAAGGGCCTAATGCATTTCGCTAACCTTAAATTAGTATCTTGGTCAAATTCGAAGATGACAAAGGTTGAAATGGTAGTTCAAACTGGACATTGCACATTTGTACTATATGTACTACTGCATCACTTGGTATTATAAGAGATTTATTAAAAATAAAATAAAATCCACCACACAAAATAAATACCTCGAGAAAAGGAATCTAAAGTCAACACTGATCAAAATTAAATTAAAGATGAATTAGTACACATCCAAAGTGGTTAGAATATAACTTAGACCAAGAAATCCAAATCCCCACTAGAAAAGCTTGGGAAATGTCATGCTACTATAGGCAACTTGGGGTTCATGCATACCCAAAGAGAAGGTACAAAAGCTTGCCCAAAGGGCATATATAAAAGACTATTTCCCTCACATCCTCCAGACTTGAGAATCTCACATGCCTGCATACCTGGTTTAAAACAAAACCCCAGTATTTGAAATTGGATATACAAAGGTTCCTGTCAAATTTCGAAATTGCATCAGGATTTTCTGAATATCCCCCTAAAGAATGACCTACATTCATAGCTATAAGTCATTCAATAGAGCTCCTTTGGTGTAATACATTATCAATTTTCCAACATTAAACGAAACATCTACATTCAAAGTCAGCCACTTTCTCTTATGCAGTTACCAGGCAACAAGAACTTGTATCTCTCTGCATTATTCAACAAATATGCAGGAAGATGCACTGCTGAATAAGAATGAGGAATAGGTCCCAATTTCCCAATTATCTCCTTAAATGTATACTCTTCAGGAAGCATGTCAAATAAGTCAGCACCTTTGCATATAACATCCTGAATCCTGTCAGGGTTCAAGTAATGAGGAAACCGCACCCGATCGTAATGGCTGTAAGCCTTCATCTTAAATATGAAATCACTGATATGGCGGAAACAGAAACTACAATGCCAGCCAGCATCTGACAACAGTAGATCAGCCTGTCTATAGTGTGCATACCTAGTCTTACCAGCCTGGTATCTATGGATTGATGCTCTCCAACTTTTGTTGTCAAGAAAGAACTCGAAAGAGTATAAGTAGTTCCTCAGTTGAAGATGAAGAACAGGAGGGGTTTCGTCGCACCACCTCAAGAGATTAATTGTGTGAGCACTAGGAATCTCATCAACATCAGACATTATCAAGAGATCATCATCTTCTATGCCTGCTATCCTCAGAAGCTGATCCAGGGCAACTCTTTGATATGCCTCTTCAACAAAAGGATTTTCCTTCCTCTTAAATCTTCCTCCAATCACCCCATAAGTCAATCGGGATTCAACAAACTTGAACTTGTCCCTATTGCTTGCAAAAACCAATGGTTTGACAAATCCTGTGAATGTTGAGTTTGATTCAAGAAGTACATACTGTGTCACATAAGGACGCATTTCTTTCCATCGGATAGTAAGCATGTCAACTTCATTGCTAAACAAAACTGCATCGAAGACTCGTCTTGGGTATTCACGGATTCTCCAACCATGAAGTTTGCAGAGAGACTCCATTGACACATTCTCATGATAATAGTGAGGGATTTCATGGAAGGGTTTTGGAGGAGATTCCCATAGTGGTCTTAGAAAGTAAGTTATTTTCTGTCCATGCAAATAGAGCCCAAAGATGCTTACTGGTAGGACCACAAATACAAATATGTAAGTTTTGAAGTCCAATCCCCGTAAAATGCAACCGAGTCTTGACATGCTCAATGCTGCAGGAGTTCCCTGCTGCACAGAAAACAAAAAATCTCTAAGCTACATGGACAACTTAATGATCAAAAACCTCATATAATGGCATAAAATTATTACATGAACCATCTCTACCAACATGAAAATCAGAAAGTAAAAAAAAGAGCACCAAACTCTAAAAGTCCAGTCCTCACAAGTATATATTTAACAAAGATATGAAATGGAAAGTTTAAAAAACAAAACCCTGAATTATATATATATATAGAGGGAGGGGTTATAGTTACTACCTCTTTTTCTTACTACTTCTTACTACCAAATATTAACCATTGATTTCCGTCAATCTAACGGTTATAATTAATTGAAAATTAATAATTAATTGATAAGCATGACCCAATAAATTATAACCGTTAGATTGTCAGAAATCAACGGTTAAGATTTGGTAGTAAGAAGTAGTAAGAAAAAGAGGTAATAACTATAATCTTCCCTATATATATATATATATATATATAAACCGGAATTAATTTTCACAATCTTCATATAAAAGAATGAAATGGGGAAAATCTAGAAAAAAGGATTCAAAATGGCAGATTCACAGAGAACAAAATCTAAAACAACCATCATTCCGTAAAGCATACAAAACATAGATAGAAGGTTCAAAAAGCGACACAAAGGGTGAAAACCAACCATTCAAAGTTTGAAATCCACAACTCAAATGCTACATAGAAAACCAACAGTTCAAACCTCAGAGGTTCAAAAACTTAAAAAGCACGGAGAAATTATGAATTCAAAAGATAAAAATTGTAAAGAACCACTTCAACCCAAAAGGGTGTGGTGGGGAGGGCCTTTTTAATGGTTTTATTATTCCCTGACAGAAATAATGACCTATCAACCAAAGCATAAACCCCTCGATGGCAAGTTCAAAACAACAATACACAAATTAATCATATTTGACATCTCTAATATGCATACATCAACGAATGAAAGGGGAAACATTATTTCTGTCGTAAATCCATCCAAAAATCACATCACCAAAAACTACAAGGGAAGTACTTAAAAACGATCAACAAAATTATATTGGATTGCAAAAACAAGTAAACTTAGCAACGACAAAAACATTTTAAAAACAAACATGACAGAAAAAACTCAAAAATAATAAAATTCCCATTTTGCATTGACAACAAAACCCAACATAGGAAACTCATTAAAACCATAACCCAAAAAAATAAAAACCAATAAAAGAAAAAGAAAAAACAGTTTAATAGAGCAGATATGAATTCATTAAAAACAAAAATCCAACCAGAAAAAAAAAAAAAGCAAAAACAAAAAAAACAAAAGAAGTACCTGCCCACAAACTTCATCGCAGATATCATCAGTCTTCTTGGAATTATAATACCCCTCAGACATGGTGAAGAACCCACACAAAAAAAGAGTATCTTTTTCTGTTTCCGTTTCGTTTTTTTTTTCTTGGGTTGGGAGGATATGAGAAGAAAAGGAAAGCAAGTGCAGAATTGGTTTATGGGTACTGTTTTATGAATAAGAAGATTGAAACTAGATCAACCCCTTCCAAACGAAGGTGCCAAAATTGCAACAAAAAATTCTTCAAACAGGCAAAAACCCAGTAAAGCTACGACCTTTAAGGTTCTCTCTCTCTTTCTATTCCTCTTCTTTCTACCCCAACCTTGTATCGTCAATTATAGCCGTTTGGTGTGGTTTTTCGCTCTTTCACCAGTTATCCCACTCTTCTAAATATTGAAGGATCATAAGAGGGGCATTTCATTTAAGTATACGTCTTCGTAAGATACGCATTTAATCCCCAAATTTGTTTTTTTGGTATGCCATTTAATCCCCAATTTTAATCACTATTAACAATTTACTCAAATAAAATTTATAATATAATCTTCTCATAGTCAAGATTACTATTTCTTTCCTTAAATGAAAATTACCCACTATTTTCATGGAACATAATTTTATCTTATCGTGTAAGTCTATCCATTTCTTATTAAATAAATAGAATCTTACACTGATTTGGAAATATCTAAAAATGATTCATCATCATTTTAATCACGTAAGTTATATTTTCAATTTTGATAATTAATTTTATTTATATTTAATAAATTTAATTTATTAGCCATTAAATATAAATAAGGTCAACAATTCAAGATTAATAATATAATTTATGACAATATAAAATGATACTGAATTATTTAGGAGCAGGTTATTTTTATATCTATTTAAAAATAAAAAAAAATTATCCCAAATTTTTTTGGTAAACAAAAATTATCTCAAATTTTATTAATTGATTTGTTTGTATGGAACACTTATCTTAGTAAGATATTTTTATTATCAATTTTTTTTATCACCACTTCATTATCGTTAGATTCAAAAATTATTTTTTTTTCTCTCTTTTCATTCAACTATTCGTATGATTCAACGGTAATTGAAATGATAGTGTAATGATAATAACAAAAATTAATAATAAGAATATCCTACATCATCTTATTTATAAGGCAGTAGAAATAAATAAATTTTAATACGAGATTATTCAATCTCCTGTCTTCATAACTACTGCACGTGCTATAGTATCTCACGTGGTCCGTTGATCGTATCCGAAAATCTGAAGTTGATGGGATTTTCTTAATCAAACGGCTAATAATTCTGGATCATGGTTATTACGGTGAAATATAGTGTGGGATAGCATTTCTTGGACTGTGGACACGTTGTCCGAGGAAGCCGTTCCTTAAACTCCTAGGTTAACAGAAGATCGAAGAGTGTGGGCGTGATCTATTTACTGTTTTATATTTTTATCTTGATGGATATACCCTTCCTTGTTTGCTGGATTTTCTGGTGAGGGTTAAGGGTGTTTCCGGCATTGTGCTATTTCTTGCGCTGTTTGTCTCGGTCAACGATGCCATCACGTTGAGTCATTTTAATTTAGCATTTGTCATAGTAATTAATAATTATTTTTGGTCAAGTTCTCATAATAATTACTTACTTAAATATATAATTAGCTAAGATATATGTGTACCAGATAAAACTAGATCTAACGAATTTAAATTCGAGAAACAGCACACAAAACAAATAAATATGTCATATTATTTTTGCAAAAATATTTGTTCTTTAACTTCTTTTTATACATTAAACAAGTCAATTTCATGCTTTTTGAAATTTAATTTAATCTTTTTTCAAAAAGATAAATAATCATTATCTTGTTTTTAGATATTACCTTTTGTCTTTCACTAAAATGTTTATTCGTTATCGGGTATTGTCGTGCCTAATGGCCATCATGCAATAAATATTATGATAATTGTCAAATTCTTTAAGAATATAACAATACAAAAAAAATTAAGTAATATAATATAAGGAATTCACACTGACAATTTTTAAAAAATAATTTAACATTCTCTTAACTTTTGGTTAAGATATAGAAAATTTCTTGAAATATCATTTGAAACCCCAAAAGCCAAATCCAAATTTCCCCTCAAACTCCTAAAACTTGGAAAATATATTTGTTTCTAGGGAAGAAAAAGCCTCTTATCCATTGGACTGAAGTGAGGAGAGAAATATCTTGTCAAATTTGTTTATACTTTTAATTCTATAATGTTTTGTCAATTGGCAATTCTACTAAATCTCCAATAGGTATGGTCCAAGTCTTTCTGGTCTTTCAGTTTCAATTAAAAGCTAGAGAAATTTCTGCACTAAAAGCTAATGCTTTGGATAGAAAATGATATGCAAATCAATTATTACCAATAACGTATTTGCTTAGTGACCTCGAATGATTTTAAGTGGGCAACATTGGGACCATAACAGAGGCATTGTTTCGCCATCATACCCAACCCAAAGCCAAGACAAGTGGTGCTGAGTAACGAGAGCGAGACATTTTTACCATGTGAGTTCAAAACAAAATTAATCTAATTGAAATTGTTCCGGGTTTATACTCGGCTAGCCTATTGGATTCGAGCCAAGGATCGGGCCCATCTAAGATCCTAAGGTCATCTCCCCTTATTGGCACTTTGGCTAATGTCCACGATCCTCGTAACTGCCACGATCATTACTAGAAAAATTGCTCCAAGTCCATGATCCTCTTTTATAACTACTCATGATGACTATTGTAAATACATATACATTATCTAAGGCAAGGGACTTGGATTGCATTCTATTCAGCCATTCCTACCAAGCTTATGTAGGAAATCTTAGATTTATGCGGAAGCGGTTTAGGACCTAGTACATTGGTATGCTTACGGAATCATCCTTGTTTCACAATTACCTCTCGGTGCGCAGATCTCGTGTAGAATCTTCCCTTGTAGGATTCCTCTTCACGAACAACTCACCTCAGCGCCGCAGCACGAACAACCTCCTTGAAGCTGGACCGTGGCAGATCTTCCAAACTATCTCTCGAGGAGGAAGGGGAAGAGTGTGAGCACTGATTAGATTCTGAGCTTGCCTCTTTCTCACAAAAAAGACCTTAGGAGGCTGATGACTTAAGAGGTACTATTTATATGGGTTCCAAGAAACCCTAGCTCATTGGGCTCTAGGTTCCTTGGGCTCTTCTTATACTAATAACCCATTTGGGCTTTAGTAAAAGAGCAAACCCAACAATCTCCCACTTGCTCTTTTGGATACAAACTTGAGTCGTAAAACCCAAGATCATGTAACCCATAAGTCATCATCTATCCGAAAAATACCCCATCCCTTGTCTCAAGCTAGCTTGGGGATCTACCATCTGTTATTAATCAAGGCTCCTGATAATCAACGAATGATTATCTAATTCGGTGCTACTCCACTAAAAGCCCGAACTTGAACTCCAAGATTAACAACACTTATAACATGAATATGCATCGCCCCTTTGTAGAATGTTTATAATTGATTGACAAGTTTTCTGTAACTCAATCAATTATTTATTCCCTTGACTATGATAGTTTCTCTGATGGATTACATGCACTGGCCAGTGTCTTTAATATCCAAGTACCGAAACATATCAAGGGGACATTTCTTATAAATTCCATGTTGTTTATCTCATAAATACCGATAATCAAATAATCTCACTTCCAAAATACCGAGTTATTGGCCGTCAATAGATCGAACCTCACTCGTTGGTAAATCAAAGAATGAAAACTATTTGATTACCTATTTATAATAAACTCAGGATTAAGAACAATCACATAACTATAGTTAACTGGAGATTTGATACCTTATGACAGAAAAACAACCTTAATCAAATCTCTCCTTGATCCTTTCAATGTGAATGTTAATTCACACCAATATTTTACAATGATTCGGACAAAATCATTTCATAAAATATTGCAGCCTGAATAAAGTGCCCAACTTTATTTAACGGCTGTGACTCCATTCATCAATTGTGAGATCCTATGATCATGTCCTCCATGAACGTATCCATATGATCATATACTCCACAATTTGATCCGGACCTTTATGTTTGTAAATAGTGCGCAAAATAAATAAATAAAACCTTATTTATGAAATTCAGAAAATGATTTTATTGTTTCATCGTCTTATTCCAAGAGCACAATAAAACCAATAACTCCCACTTGTTTAATGCAAGTCTGGGATCCTCCTAAAACCCAAAGAAGTAACATGCCTCTCGAACACAAGTTCAGGCAAACTCTAAGTAACTGGGTCTGCAAGATCCACCTCTGATGCTATCTGAGTTTAGTGAAAAACTCATAGCTCGAGGTTGATTTTCTTGAGTCAATATCCACTTGAAATAACTGAATTTTTGAAAACTCAGCTTTTCAAGACTCCCACTAGAATATACCAGCATATAATCTCTCGTTCTCCAAAGATACTTGAGTACATGCTTAACAATAATCTAGTATTCCTCTAGGTTCAAAATGGTACTATCTCACTACTCCCACTGCGTGACAGATGTCTGGTTTAACGCCCAACATGATATGCGTGAGTCTACCTTTGCCAAAGCATAAGATATCTTGCTCATGCATTCTTCCTTCTTAGAAGTCTTTGGTCACTCCTTAGGAAGATGAATTCCACATCTGAGAATTATAATTCTTCTCTTAGAATTCTCATGTTGAATTTTGGCAAGAGTTTTGTCAATGTAAGTAGCCTGAGGTGATGCCAACAACTTATTCTTCCGGCCTCATAAGAGTTTTATACCAAGAATATAATTGGCTTCCCCAGTACTTCCATACCAAAACACTAACTTAGCCAACTCTTTATGCTTGATATTACCTCCACATTGTTTCTAATAAGGAGCATATCATCTACATAAAGTACCAGAAAAGCTACTGTCTTCCGTTGTATCCTTTACATACAAATACACATCATTCATCAAGGTTCTCTCAAAATCAAAATTTTGATAACCTGATCAAAACTGATGTTTCAAGACCTGGATGCTTGCTTAAGTCTATGAAATAGACTTTCACAACTTGCATACCGTGTGTTCCTACTCATTTGCTATAAACCCTTTTGGTTGTTGTATGTAGATATCCTGACATCCAACTCCCAAAATGAAATCTCATAATTGAGACTTATAGCAACTAAGAGAATCTGGATAGACTCAAGCATGGCGTCTGGCAAAAAATGCCTCCAAGCTAGCTTTGAAGGTTTTCACCTTTCTGTCCATCCTCTCTTTGCCTTTTATGTCCACATGCACCTTGTGGGTTTTACCCCTCTTGGTGTCTTTACTAGGACCGAACGGAGTTGAAATACAAGTATTTCATCTCATTGTTCATAGCCTGAGCAACACTTGAT